ACATATCCAGAAGTTTTACCAGTGTATGTAAACTGGCTGTACTGTGGAATGACAAAATTAGATGTTTGTTCATCAGCTGATTTAGAGGTTTTTTTATGAAATTGCGACCACCATTTGAAATCTGTGTTAAATTTGTCTACAAAACGACATGGCTACTGAGTGAAAAAACAGTACATGCGCTGTACTTGTACTGTTATTTCACTCAACCGAAAATTGAACAAGCCCCCATCGCTCGTATGATGTTGGTCTGTGTATTATTCTTTCGCTATGTGATAGGCCTATGGATTTTAAACAATTTGCCTATCTTAGTTAAAATTACCGTTTTTGGCACTTGTACTGTTCTTTCACTCACCGATTCAATTGCTATATCCATACCATAAGAAGCCAGTACAAGAATTATTAGTCCATGATCCTCAAATTCGTTTGGGTTTTTGTCGATTTGTTAATATGCAAAGAGAAAGAGATCCAAACTTTGTCAAGAAGGTTCTCTTTACCGATGAAGCGGGTTTTACAAGAAGAGGTATAACTAATACCCATAATGAACTTTTTTTGCCGTTGAAAATCAGCATGCAATAAAGGTAAACCATTTTCAGCACGAATTCAAAATTAATGTGTGGGCTGGAATAATTGGTAATTTCATTGTTGGTCCTGTCATACTTCCACGAAGATTAACTGGAGAAAATTATTTGGATTTTCACTAGTAATACCACTAGAGGTCAAAAAATTTCCTGATATTAATTTGACCTCGCGTGGTATTCGGTAAGAAAATTCCACGCCGAATTATGATTGAAAATTAAATATTTTTAAAATTTATTTTTCGTTTCTCAACAATGCAAATTATTTTCTCCAAGTCACCAGTGAAACATAAAAGGTGTTGTCGCCTTGATTGTTGAGTTGTCAACTAAGTGAGACCCTAACCTCGAATATAATTTCAGTTTTGAAGTTGTCAAGCGGCCCGACGTAAAAAAATGTTTCGCTGCAATTATTTAGCCCTTCAAATTGCTTATTTCTACTCATTGTAGTTGCATGGGAATACTATTTGAAAATAGAAAATAGTATATTCTTTAATTTTACGTAAGTTTTGAATAACTACAAGTGGTAGAAAATTGTTTTTCTGCGTTTTTATTAACATGCGTTATGAGCGCTTTAAAATGGTATGAAATTCATAACCAGCGTCAGCAAGCATCAATCGTAGGAGGCTGTGATCATTGTATTTTGACAGTTCAAAACATTAAATAACTCGCGTTTTGTTGCGATAATGAATATTGCACAGCAAGTAAAACCAACAAAATTACCTATTTGTTTAAAAATGAATCGATTTGAAAATCATACGCTATGCAAAATTTGCACCTAAACTACGCAAAATTCAAAGTGCTAAATGGGAAAAAGGTGAATAAATTAATGTCTAAATATTATATATATTTTATTAGACATAGACACATAATTCAAAGCATCCAAAGTCCTGCATTTTCGCCATTAAGAAGAAAAGAAGTTGCCGAAGAATATAGAAAACACCTTAGCATTGTAACTAAAATGTATCAAAACTAAACCTATTATGTGAACAAATAAAAACCAGTCTGTCAAAAATGGTATGTTATTGTAAACGTCAAAAAATTTCCAGTATAATTCGCTGTTGGGTACCCCACGAGAAAAAAATTTCCACTAAAATACTTCCGTTGCCATGGTGATCTGTCAAAAACACGTATTTTGATTGGTTCAAAATTACAGGTGTGGAATTTTCTACAAAATACGTTGCCAGAATTGTTAGAAGATTTACCTCTCCAACTTCGGAGAGATATGTGGTTTATGCAAGATGGAGCTCCACCACATTTTTCTTTAAACGTTAGAAACCACTTGAATGAACAATATCCACAAAAATGGATAGGCAGAGGTAATGACGCACCTGTAAACTGGCCACCACGTTCCCCAGACCTAACACCGATGGATTACTTTTTATGGGGACATCTGAAATCCACAGTTTACAGGGAACCTGTAGAAAATGAGGAACAACTCTGGCAACGTATTCAAGATGCAATAAACAATCTTAGAGGTAATGAAGAAGTTATGGAAAGGATTCATGTTAATTTTATTCGACGTATAAATCTTTGTATGCGTGAAAATGGTGAACATTTTGAACAATTTGTGTAAAATCTCTATTTTGATTATGTTGTAAATAAATATTTTTGTGAAACCTATACACTCTAAATTATTAAAACAGAAATTTAGCGAAAACCATGAGAGTAATCGAGTCTTATCAAGAGTACCTTTTTTTAAGTAAATGAGTTGCGCAATCTAAATTTCATACTCAAACACCTTTTCTTCCATTGGCGTAGAATTTTTAAAGGTGCAATTATTTAAAAAAATCAAGTTCTACGCCTATGTATTATCGGATAAAATTTTAATTCCATTTTTTTTGCCACATAAAACTCTACCAATATACCAAATTTCAGCAAAATCGCTTATGCCGTTTTAAATTTATATGGGAAAAGCGATTTAAAAATTGTAACTTCAAGGCCCTCTAGAGCCCAAACGAAGCAACCTTGTACTAAGGTAATTTTACTTAAATCAACTTATTTTGGTCTAAGGAATATGTGGTATGTTTTTGTAAAGACCTTTTATATATATGGATTTAAGATTCAATCCCTTCAGTATAGCCAGCAGATCTATTTTTAAAGCTGCGGGAGAATATAATAGACCCAAATTATTTAAAAATTAGGATATAACATATTTGCGAGATTTCAATACTTCACCTTTTTATCAAGAATGGCACGGGGCATTATCCATGACTACAACCGCATTTGATGGAAAATTCGGTATCAGCTGTTATTGAACAGTTACGGATTTACCATAACTATAAATGAATAAAATTTATGTGGCCTTAAAGCCATTATTTATTTCCGTGATCGTTAAAAAAAATATAATTCAAAGGGATCATTTCAACTTCCGTAGGTTTTTTTTTCAAGCATGTGCTTTTGTACCTAATATAACCTAATATCAAAGACATTAGAACAATATCTTTGCCTAATATACACTAATTCAATTCAATCTTTATTGTTTTTAAAAAACTACAGTTTTTACAACAAAGTGTTTAGTTAATTGCCTAAACTGTATCTGTAAAAGTGAAATAAACTTAATATTAGACTTAGGTATATTAAATGACCTAGGTCTAAATTAGTTTTATTCTTTTAATTAATTTTTATGCTCTAGTGCGGCAGTTAACTTGTAAAGAAAATATATTTCTAGAATATAACTTCTGGGAAAATAGAATCTTCATTCCATTACTTTCAGATGGGCTCTAAAAAGTAAATAAAAATAAAAAAAATACAATGTAATAAACGAAAATCTTGCCTAAAATCGAATACTATCCTGTAGCATATTATAAGGTAACAGAAACAAAGTTGGATACAGTAGACAAAGTTACGCAGTTTTTGCTCATTAAAATGGTGCCAATAAACCTTTGATATCTACAGGGAGATTCAAAATATCGGACAAAAGTAGAAATTGTAACTTCTTTAAATTAATTAATTTTTTTAGAACCGTCTGATTGCTTTTTGAGGTATGGTTTTGGGTACATTTCAATGTTCACTTTATTTTTTTACGGAAATGGCGATTCTTAACATAGAATACATTGTCCATAATAATTGTTCCATAAGTTCCCCAAAATATACCAAGAGCATATTCTCAAAATATATATTGATATGGAAACACCCAGTATCCGAAAATTAAAATTTTGACCAAGACACTTTTAAAGGGGTGGTTCGACTCTCAAAATTTACAATATAAAATTAAAAGCAAAATAAAATTAAAAAAATCTAAAATTTTTTTTTAAATTTTCAATTTTTCTTCTTCTGCTTCTCCTGCTTGTTCTACTTCTCCTCTGTTCTTCGACCTGCTCCTTCTGCTATCTGCTACACTTTTCTCTTAAATTCAACTGAAACTTTTCATTACAATTATTTTTTATTTCCTCTGACAATTTCTTAATCTTTTGAGAATTTTCTGACAAACATTTTTACAATCCAAAAAAAATGACATCCAGATTATTTACTTAAATTTTGATTTTTAGCAACTTCACCAGGATAGACAATAAATTTAGATGACGACACATTTTCCATATCAATATATTATGTATTACGTAACAGTATCTGTAATTTTGTATTTACTTTTAAACAAAATGATATATAATAGAAGATTTACTGTGGTGGTTAAAGATAAAACTCATTATGTCACCAGTTGCGAAAATAAAACAAAAATAAACCTTTTTTTGGATTTAAAATCAATATATACTAGAATTTGGTTAAACTTACAACCTAGTAATAATGTTGTTTTGGTTCTTATTTTCCATTTTAAATCAACACAAAATAATTAAAACACAATACACGACAAAATAACCCATTTTCTTGAAAACAAAATAACTTTAATAAGCAATATAAACACACTACAACAAGTAGTTAAGAATAAATAAATATGATTTTCCATTGGTTAATAAAATAAATGAAGTATAGGCAACTAACAATACAAAAAAGCAATATTGGTTGCATAGATGTCAGTAATTTTTTATCAAACCACAATTTTATAAATAATAATCTAGTTAAAATTACAAAAAATATTGTACGTAACACGTTACAAAATGCCGTTTCGTGTATCTCGTTCATGTTGCGGGACCTCGCAAATATTCACTCGTTATATTAAATAAGACGTTTCGTAACTGATTGCATAAATAGCTATTATATCAATGAATTGCTGTTTTATTTGAAACCCATTTTAATTTTTTTGGCATATTTCCTATTATTATTCTATGAGGCAAATTTGAAAATTTCAGCAACTCTAATTTTGGATTCTTTCGAAAAATATTTATGAATGTTCCACGATTTTATTTTGACAATATTTAGTTTTACCAACATTGTACAATAGCAAACATCTCTTCTTGAAGAATATTAATTCACTGTTTTCGAAGCCGCAGATGTAACATTTTATTAATAATAATAATTTTTTGATTACAGATGTTGCCAAAAATGTCATACTATTCCTCGGTGACGGTATGTCCATTCCAACCGTTGCTGCTACTAGAATGTACATAGGAGGAGAAGAAGAACTTCTATCTTTTGATAAATTTCCGTATACAGGATTATCCAAGGTAAGAAGATCTAATAGGTTCATTGCTCAATATTACTTGAGTGCTTTTAAAAAATGGTATATGTCTGCCGGTAAATGAGCTATTGCCAAATGAAATTTACTTTTTTCGGAATTAATTCTGTGAATGAAAAATTGGCTTTCTATATATTTAAACCATAGATCTGGTTGATGTGCTCGAAAAATTGGAAGTTTCACTTTTGAGAAATCTACAGAAATATCGTTTTGAACTAGACTAGGAGGTTCGCTAGATTCAAATGCAAGTGTCGGGTCATCTGATGCCATTTATGTGATGAAATATGTGAGGAAAAAAATTTAGTCGATACACTTGAAAAAAATCCTACTTACGCAAAACCTTGGCACGGTCCTCGTCGGCGATGGTCCAAAGTCGTGTTTCTCAGATGTGACTACGATTCTGCTTTGATTCTATCCTTGTCAATACTGCTGCTGCTGCTGCTGATGATACTATCGCAGAATCAGAAGACTACCACGGCCGGATAAGTTGCTTCTAATCGTGAAGATTCTTCTTCTTGAACGGGTCACAGGTCATCATTGCGGGTGTTTGTTTCTTATGCCTGGCTCCATCTCGGGCTGTTCTTGCGGGGTCACCAATGTAGGTTCCAATATCTAGGATCCTATTAAAAAATAAAAGAACTTGATTAAATAAATGTAAATATAATTTCAAGATAAATTGCCAAAAAGTACAATCAGTCACGCCGACACTAAAATAAATATGCCAGACGTTTTCATATAAATATTTCTTAATGCCTGGCAACCCAGGGGTAGTATTCTCGAATCACGAATACCGACATTCGCATACGTGTTTTAAAATGTGTCTCACTTTGTTGAACGAAAACCAAGTGAGACAAATTATAAATCTCGCATGCGAATCTATGTTCGTGACTCGAGAATACTACCCCAGGGGGTCGATTCTCGACTCGCAGGAATTTTTTCCTATAGGAATTTTTGACATTTTTCTACACATCGGAAATTTATGACATTTGTCTACATGTAGGAAAGTGTCACAAATTCCTATAGGAAAAGGTTCCTACAAGTCGAGAATTGACCCCCTGGTTGTTCCGTTGCCAAGATTTCTCGCGACATAGGGCGCACAAGGTTATCGACTAAGATCTGAGTTTAAGGCTTGGTCAGAGATAAGGGATATAAAGATAGGAAACGCCCATAAGAAGCCAATGCTTAACAATGACCAGCTTTATCGCAGTTAACATCTGACCAACTATGTGGCGCTTTCATCGATATCAAACAACGCAGCGGGAAATTTAAAAACCTGATAATGAAGGTTGTATAAATATCGACTGCACTCTCATGTTCTTGTAAATAAACTTAAACAATGTAATTGCCCTAAATTATTTATTAAAAAGAATACTACACTTACAGTCTATTATCGATTAATTATAGTAAATCTATATTCATGACAAATATTTTTTAATTTTTGATTTTATTTTCCAAACGAATTGCCTTATTTAAAAATGTTGTGTGCAAATTCAATAATGGGAATTCAGATATTTTTCTTCCTATATCAAATCTTCTTTCTAACGTTTTGAAGCCATTTTCTTGTTCTAAAATAATAAATAATACATAAATACCTACTTTGTGATAAAAGTTGATTACTATTTGTGTTATTTACATGAATAGATCTTACTTACTTCAGTTAATTAAAGAACGCCACATTGGGGTTGTTAAATTTGTTCATGTGGCATGTGTTACTAATGCAATACGTTCTCAGACTTATTATAATATTACAAAATATAATTATTGTACTCAAATTTCACACAAAAAGCCACAACTATTTCGCTTAGTTCATCTAGAGGATAACACAATCATGAACTCAAAATTTAAATTCAGGATTCTTCGATATACATAACACTAACTGACATTTATATTTACAAACTGTCAATTGCTGTCCACGTCTACTGCCTGTCTCAGTGTTGCCAACTGTACGATTTAAATCTTATTTATACGATTTTTTAACTCTGTACGATGTACGATTGCATCAGTGAGATCGTACGTAAAAATACGACCTTCACTTTTTTAGTAGGTTTATTTAAATATCTGCAACAACTTCAGAACATAAAAATCAAAAACTACTTGCAAAGATTCATAGGCCATTCGTAATTACTGAAGGCGGTCATTTTCGTTCTGACTTATCCTGATTTTGACCATGTTGATTTTGTACACCGACTATCACGGCATAAGAAAAGTTTGCATGCAAAATTTCAATCACGTTCAAGTGACAATCATTGATTACTTTAAATATGTTATTTGAAGTTTTATGTATTTCCTTCAGTTTTTTTTTTTCGTTGTATACATTTTTATAAACAGATACATAAATTATCATGCCAAAGTTTTTTTTTATTTTTTCATTCCATTTAAGTTATATTATGCTATACATGTATCTATTGTACAATTTTTTGTCGAAATATCATTTTTTTACTCTACTTGTACGATCTCTCAAAAAAAGTATTTTGCAACACTGGTCTCTCTACAAACGACGTAGACCTGTAGTTAACATCTGAGACGCTAGATGACGCCATTGTTGCTGCGGTCGTTGCATTTCCAATCTTTATCTCCCTTATCTCTGGGCTTGGTGTTATTAGCGTTATTATGACATTGGTTTCCCGACACTGACACTTGGCTAACCTCAATAAAATCGACCTATGTCTTAAACTAAATATGACGAAAGTCAAAACTAAAGGTAAGTTTATGTGGTGATCACAAAGTCTCCACATAAAGATTGTCAACATAATAATGCAATAGATAATAAATATATAAGTTAATCCACAAAAAATTTTAAAATGTTTATAAAGAAGGGGGTCGCACACAAATCCTTTCTAGCATATTTTTTTTTTTTTAATAAAAGGCTCATAGATTGTAAGAATTTTAATCTCGGAGGTGGCATGGCACCCTGTTCCCCCGCAGCTGCCCTTGAATATCAATGTATAATGCATGGGCAATGTTAATTTGTTTTTAAATTAATATATTTTGAGATAATTAGCAGCAATACTAATTTTCATTTAGTTTTGTTAATTTTAGTTTGATTTTCTCAGCTTGGGTCCAGACACTGGCTCCCCTCAATCAGGCTTGGGGTCCAGCTTGTTTTCCCTCCTCTTGGGGTTCGTATAGCGGCACTAAAGTACAAATGGCTTATTGTGTCACCATTTGGATGCGCTACTCCTTCCTTTTCATCATTCACTCATTAATTTTAAATATGCTGCTATTACATCTTTCGATGTAGATTGTTCATATTCCATGTACAAATTATTTTAGTTTTAAAACAGAAAATATGAAGAAGCACTTAATGGTTATTGGTTTAATTATTAATAAATAATTACTTAGTTTTAATATGTTATTTATATTATAGACCAGAGCATACTGGCGCATTCGTTTGGAAAATTGTTTTAATTCGTAATTTTTTTTAAATATCCGGCTTGCCTAATTATAAAAGTGTAAGATGACACTCGATATTTGTTGATGTTATTGTTTAACAACGAAAAATTAATTAAGCCAGAAAAAATGCATTTTTTGCAATGAATTAATTTTTTTTATATTCTTTAGGATATTTCGAATAAAAAAAGTCCTTACGCCCACATCGTATCTTCAACCCTTTAATTGTTATGAATTTTTTAAAATCCAAAATTGACGAAAATTCTAATTTTCTTGAATTAAATAATATACCTTAAAACTTAAAATGCCATAATTTTAAATTTTTTACCGAATATTCAAACTATAATAAACAAAATTACCTAAATAAATTTTCAAAATTTTGTTTGTTGTTATGTTTTTTTTACGTTATAACAATATGCTTCCTACGCGCCACGATGCCACGAAAAAGATTGTTCACTAGTATTTTCATTAAACAACAATTTAAATCGCACAGTCACGTTATCGTTTCGATGAAGAGTTGCATTTTTTAATTTTAAATATGTAACAAGGTTTCGGACACTTCACTAACGCCTCGCCATGATCACAAAATAAACACTTTTTGTCGTCAGATAATATAATTTTTTTTGAAATTAAAGAGAACGACATTATTATTCAGAAAATTACACGACTGCAAAGTAAACCAGTAGATGTAGAATCGAGCAAGACTGATTAACAACTGAAAAATAATTTTCAAAACGAGCCAAAAATTCTAAGGTAGGGTTGAATTTTCTATTTGGAAGGTTGTAAAAATTGTTTATGACAGAAAAAAAAATAGAAGAAGAGTTAAACGTACAATTTTTTCAAAATACGAAATAAGTCCCTTTACCTATTTGTATTCATAGTGCAAAAGATTGAAAATCATAAAAAAATTTCATATTTATAGTATTTTTTTTTTCCTTATTTTTGTTAAATGGAGAAAGGCTTAGATATTTTTGAAATCATAAAATTTTATAACCCCAGTAAGCCTACTATGTTCATTGTAACAGGTAGAAATTTTTCACGGATCACGACAAGTGCATTTGGCCTTTTTATCGTATTGAAAAAAAAGGTTGAAGAAGATTTTCAGTAGGCAGTATCTGACAATAATTTTTTCATGAATAAAAATAAATGTTTCTGTTAACTTTAATAAATAAAAAAGTTATCAAAAGTATCTAAAAAAGTAAAAAAAAAATCACATGATACAAAACTATTAATCGGCAAATATAACAAAGTGTTATGAAAAATGTTAATAATAATTTTTTTAAACTTATTACCTCTGAAAAACAGCGAAAAATTGTTTCAGCGCGTCATCGCGCTTTCTCTTACCCATCTTATACATTGAGTTGGAAGTGAGATAGAAGTACTTCTCTCTAAAAGTACACGCGCGTAGGAAGCATATTGTTATAACGTAAAAAAAACATAACAACAAACAAAATTTTGAAAATTTATTTAGGTTATTTTGTTTATTATAGTTTGAATATTCGGTAAAAATTTTAAAATTATAGTATTTTACATTTTAAGGTATATTATTTAATTCAAGAAAATTTTCGTCAATTTTGGATTTTAAAAAATTCATAACAA